ACTTCTGGATTGGGCCGATAGCTGCTCTCTATCTCCTAGCGTGCCGGATTCTTTCACATCACTTAGAACTAACTCATATCGAACTATTGATTATGCTCTATCAAGTGGTATACCTGTAAGCATTCAAACATACGAAGGTGGTACAACAAGTGATCATAAACCAATACTAGGAGTAGTCTCGTGTAGTAGACACGAATCAACTACAGGAAAAATGTTCATTGGCAGGTTTTCTCTCTGTTTTTATCTTATGTATTTCCCTTCTGGCAGAGCCATTGGAATTTGGGTTGTTTCGATGACGTATACAAAGATTACGTATCATTTCTGTCGCTACTAATCGCTAGATGTACAGTCTACTTCCCGATCAATAAATATCGGGTAGCTATACCAAATGCAATTCGAACTAGTTTATCATACTGTCGTGCACTTTCTTTTCGCGCCTATCGAACAGGAGATTGTGAATTGAGAAGAATGGTTTGTCACTGGCGAGCCATTTTGAAAAAGGAGTTAAAACTTTTTCTTTCAGATCGATTAAGGAACAGTCTCGCGACGCGATACTCCTCTTCTCATACTTCAGTAAGTTTTTGGTCAAAAACAAAACAGTTCTTCAAACCAGCTAGTGCATCATTGCACGGGTTTGTGCTTTCAACAGGTGAAATTATACGAGATAGTTCAAAAATGGTAGACATTGCAGCTGAGCATTACAAACAACTCTACTCAGCACCCAACGTCGTTCGTCCGCACCCCTATGTTGATGCACCTCCGTTGTCGTGGGAAAATGAAGATGAGCAAATTCCTCCCGTAACATTTGAGGAAGTTATCAAAGTAGTAGCTAATAGGGAGAAAAAGTTATCATGTGATGCTCATGGTCTTTCGACGTTTCTATTCAAATTTTTACCTCCGCAGTACTGGATGTTATTTGTACAACTCTTTAACAGATCTTTTTCTTCATTATTTCTACCCGCTCTTTGGAAAGATGTTCGTATTATTCTACTCGCAAAGAAAGAGAACATTTGTAATGCATCGAATACCAGACCCATTTCGCTGCTAGATATCTTCCTAAAAGTAATCGAGAGGCTGTTCCTAACTAGGTTTCAGAATGTACTTAAGGGGCGTGGAATCCTCCCCGACACGCAATCAGGATTTAGATCCAACTTCAGACTCCAAACTAGAGTCCTGCTATTGATCGAAGAGATTGCGTCCTTAATGTCTAGCAGTTCTCCTGTGGCTACAGTGTTTGTGGACTACAAACAGGCCTTTGATCAGTTATGGGTGGAAGGTTGCGTTGGTAAATTTAGTCGTATGGGAATCCCTAGAGCATATGTAGAATGGATAAAAGCATGGTTNAGTGGTGATCAGTCGTATTCTATTCTCTTTCTTCGAATAAAGAACGAACATATACGCGTCATCGTATACTGTTATTATTTTTTTTTTTTTATTTGGAAAAAAAAAAATTTATATTTCATTAATTTGTTACTTGAATTATTAACTTGCTTGTGCTAGGTGGCGAAACCACCATGCAGTCAAGCAGGAGTTCTCCAACCTACCCCAACCACCCCCATGACATCTCCCAGCTCCAACAACACCAAGATAAATCATCATCTAGCCTTATCAATTCACATCATCACGTAAACTGTGGTCAATGTATTCATCGAACAACAAATGAAAACTATCAACACTCAAATTACCATCAACAAAATCAACAAAATTATACATGGTGTAACCGTCAATCTCGTTCTTTTGTATCTCCTGTTACACCAAAAAGATTTAACTCGATTCAAAATGTTTATCCATTACTTGGAAATGATATCGTGAATGATTCATCTTCTTATATACATGTACATCCATCGGCAAGCTGTCGTACAAATAAAAAAAGAAAACAAAGTGGTAATGAACAGCCAATAGCATGTCATCATGATGAATCACCACATCTTCAACAGATAAATGATGATACTAATATACAAATAAAATCAACATCACCTATTATTCCATCAACAAAAGTTACGGATGAAGCTAAACGTTTTGCTCAATCCCGTTATCCATTTCCACCTTTTATTTTACACTTTAAAAGATCCAAAATTAATGATAAAGCTATTATTGATGAATTATTGAACTTTAGTAAAGTAAAGTACTCGTTCGATCTTGAATTAGCTGGTTTTCGTTCATCTTCAATTAGATCTAATGATAATGAATGTAACCTGCTTTTATTTGTTAAAAATAGTTTATCATTTTCATTTTTATATTCGGATATTAAATGGCCTGATAAATTAGGTGATGAAGCTTTTACTATTAATCGTCAACCAGCTATACCTCCACAACTTGCTCTTATTATAACCAACGTTAGTTACAAAACGAACTTAAATGAGTTCGAGAATGACTTAAAAGTCAGGTACGAGAATATTGCTAAAGTTATTCGTTTAAAAAATAGGAATCAATTTGATACAAAATTAGTTAAAGTCGAATTTAGTTCATCAAAAACCCGTGATGATATTTTATCTAATGGATCTATCATGGTGCACTATGTAAAACATGATGTTAAAGAATTTTTACCTGTAGCAACAATTCTTATTTGCTCAAATTGTATGGGATTAGGACACTTTCGCAAGCAGTGCAAACAACGAGATATTACATGTAAAATATGTGGTGAACGTTATCAGGACCTGAACAAACATTGTTGTCAAGGTGCAGCTAAATGTATTCACTGTGGTGGTGATCATAACTCGAATGATTTGAAATGCAAGGTGATCAAGCAATACCGTGCTGATTTAACAAATTCGCTTTTATCTTCTTCTAGTCGAACATTCAACAAGAACTTGAACTCGTCTTCTGATTTTCCACCATTACCTCAACCAATTAGAACAAATTTCAATGAATATAATATGCCACTGGGTGGTACCAATGAAATTATGTCAAAGTTAGACCTGATTCTTAGCTCAATGAACAATATCAACAATGTTATAGGTGATCTTACAAAACGTACTGAACAAATTGAAAAATGGTTTAATGATAAACGTGAATTAGATTTAAAAACTGAAAGTGAAATTAAAGTATTACAGCTTGGAAAAGTACGTCATGAAGGTGAATTATTACAACATGCAAAATTAATTGAAAAAATGATTTTTCCGGCCTTAGATGATATGATCATGTTATTGAGTGAGCTGAACGTTAAAGATGGTAGAATATTAAATGCTGATTTCAAGTCAAGAAGTGAAGTATGGAAAAACGAGTTTAGAGCTTATCTCGATAAAAGACTAAAACTTTAATGGAACTTTCTCCATATGCTACCCCTTTTTTTTCTTGTACTCCCCCATCTAAAGTGTCAGATAGGTCCTTTTTTCTTAGTTATGCAAAAAATAATTTCTCTTCTTTCGATTTTGTATTGTTTAAACGTATTCTTTCGGAGTGGGAAAATTGTTGTTTGCTCTCGTCTTGCCTCACTCTATGGAAAATGTATGTTCGTACTGATATGTCTTCCTATTTTTCCTCTCTTCATTGCTTGTCTTTTAATGTCCGTGGTTTTAATCATAGATGGAATGAAGTTCTTCTTCTCGGGAATTCCTTCAAATTCGATATCATCGTACTGGTGGAAACTGGTGTAGTTGATCTCTCTTGGATGAACAAGCTATTTCCTGATCGATCGATCTACTATCAAAAAGGTGAAAATAGTTTTGGTGGAGTCGCGGTACTGATTAGGAAAGATTTAAAAACAAAAAAAGTAGACTGTAATTTACCCAATATCTGCACAGTAGATATTGAACTTGAAGAAAAAATTAGGATTGTAGGTGTGTACGCACCCGAAAGCAAAACCTGGAACTGGAAAGATCTCACGCCATTAATTTCCTCTAAATGTGTATTACTGGGAGATTTTAATGTTGATTTGGAAATAGATACCAAACCACGTGAATCACTTCTGGAATGGGCCGACAGCTGCTCCCTATTTCCTAGCTTGCCGGATTCTTTCACATCTCTTAGAACCAATTCATATCGAACTATTGACTATGCCCTTTCAAGTGGTACACCTGTAAGCATTCAAACGTACGAAGGTGGTACAACTAGTGATCATAAACCAATACTAGGTGTAGTCTCGTGTAGTAGAAACGAATCAGCTACAGGAAAAAATGTTCATTGGCAGGTTTTCTCTCTGTTCTTATCCTATGTATTTCCTTTCTGGCAGGGCCATTGGAATTTGAGTTATTTCGAGGTCGTATACGAAGATTACGTGTCATTTCTGTCCTTACTAATTGCTAGATGTACAGTCTACTTTCCGATAAACAAATATCGAGTAGCTTTACCAAATACAATTCGAGCTGGGCTTTCATACTGTCGCTCACTTTCTTTTCGTGCCTGTCGAACAGGCGATTGTGAATTGAGAAGAATGGTTTGCCACTTGCGAGCTAATCTGAAAAAGGAGTTAAAACTTTTTCTATCAGATCGACTAAGGAAAAGTCTCGCGACGCGATACTCATCTTCTCATACTTCAGTAACTTTTTGGTCAAAAACAAAACGGTTCTTCAAACCAGCTAGTGCATCATTGCATGGGTTTGTGCTTTCTACAGGTGAAATTATACGAGATANGATCAGTAGGAAAAAATATTATAAAATCAGTTGATTGAATGAATGATCAGTTATATATGGAAGTACCAGTAAACTATATATATGATCAGTTGTTAAATGAAAAGGTGACGTAATAAAATTTGAATATCGGTAAATAAAATAATATAGCAGTCAGTTAAATCAAAGAATCATTAGAGAAGTAAAAAGTAGGACAAGATGAATAACTTTGTGCTTTGTTGTCTTTCTTTCTTTTTCTTCATTGACCTATATCTACACAATGTAACATATATATGCTTTTCTTTTTCTTGTTCCTTCACGTTTATCATATTGTTAACACGTAGAAAATATGGAAGGAATCCAGGTTGCTCAATATGTAAGTGATTTATCAGATGAAGAAGTTTATAAAGAAAGTAATGAAAAACCTCAAAAGAAGAAAAAAAGAACAAAATATTGGGTTAACGAAGCTGTGTTTGATAATGCTGGTGAAGCCGAAGCATCACTTGGTAACGCATGGTCGGGTGTGGGTGTGGGTGTGAGTATCATAGTGTTTAAATATCCACACCCACACCCACACCCTCCTCATTCTATATTACACATTGCCAATAATTTTCATCTTTTTTACTGGTAAAATCTGTCTTATTTACTTATCAAATTTTCATTTTTTACTTATCAAATTTCTTTTTTTTACTGGTACAATTGATATTTTTTTACTGCTATTATGTATAATAAACTGATCATTTTCATGCCTAGCTTGCCGGATTCTTTCACATCCCTTAGAATCAATTCATATCGAACTATTGACTATGCCCTTTCAAGTGGTACACCTGTAAGTATTCAAACGTACGAAGGTGGTACAACAAGCGATCATAAACCAATACTAGTGGTAGTCTCGGGTAGTAGAAACGAATCAGCTACAGGAAAAAATGTTCATTGGGAGGTGTTCTCTTTGTTCTTATCCTATGTATTTCCCTTCTGGCAGGGCCATTGGAATTTGAGTTCTTTCGAGGTTGTATACGAAGATTACGTGTCATTTCTGTCCTTACTAATTGCTAGATGTACAGTCTACTTTCCGATAAACAAATATCGAGTAGCTTTACCAAATACAATTCGAGCTCGGCTTTCATACTGTCGCTCACTTTCTTTTCGTGCCTGTCGAACAGGGGATTGTGGATTGAGAAGAATGGTTGGGCACTTGCGAGCTAATCTGAAAAAGGAGTTAAAACTTTTTCTCTCAGATCGATTAAGAAAAAGTCTCGCGACGCGATACTCATCTTCTCATACTTCAGTAACTTTTTGGTCAAAAACAAAACGGTTCTTCAAACCAGCTAGTGCATCATTGCACGGGTTTGTGCTCTCGACAGGTGAAATTATACGGGATAGTGAAAGAATGGTAGACATTGCAGCTGAGCATTACAAGCAGCTTTACTCAGCACCCAGCGTCGTTCGCCCCCACCCCTATGTCGATGCACCTGCGTTATCGTGGGAGAATGAGGATGAGCAAATTCCGCCTGTAACCTTTGAGGAAGTTATCAAAGTGGTAGCTAATAGGGAGAAGAAGCTATCATGTGATGCTCATGGTCTCTCGACGTTTCTCTTTAAATTTCTACCCCCGCAGTACTGGATGTTATTCGTACAACTATTCAATAAATCCTTTGCTTCAGGCTATTTACCCTCCCTCTGGAAAGATGTTCGTATTATACTACTAGCAAAGAAAGAAGCTATCTGCAATGCATCGAACACCAGACCCATTTTGCTTTTAGATATCTTCCTAAAAGTAATCGAGAGGTTGTTCCTAACTAGGTTTCAGAATGTACTTAAGGGGCGTGGAATCTTTCCCGATACGCAATCAGGATTTAGATCCAACTTCAGACTCCAAACCAGAGTTCTGCTGTTGATCGAACAAATTGCATCCTTTATGTCTAGCAGTTCTCCTGTGGCTACAGTGTTTGTGGATTACAAGCAGGCCTTTGACCAGTTATGGATTGAGGGTTGTGTAGGCAAATTCAGTCGTATGGGTATTCCTAGAGCATATGTAGAATGGATAAAAGTATGGTTAGTGGGCAGAAGAGGCTATGTAGAGATTCACGGTTCTAGATCCCAATGGTTCCCTATTGATCGTGGAGGGCCCCAGGGGTCTAGCTTAACCCCGTCAGTTTTCATCACATATCACGCTGATATGGACCAATTCTTGCAAAGATGTACTTCCTTTTATTTTGCGGATGACTTAGCGGCCACTATGGCAGGCCGAATTGGAGCTAAGTACTCAGAACAGTGTCTAGATCTCGAGAGGAGGCTAAAGGATTTCTTCGATAGTCTGGAGTACTACTCACTGCTCTCGGTCCAACCGATTAATTTTGAAAAAACTGAGGCTCTCTGGTCCGCCAGAGCTTGGGGAGTACATGAGGGACCGAAATTTAGTTTAAGCTGTGGCAATCATCCCATTAAATGGTGTACGTCCTTTAAATACCTAGGCTATTGGATTAGTCCCAAACTAGGCTGGTCAACTATGATCAACAAATCCTTATTAAAAATTCGACAAAGAGTTGCTATGATAAATTCCTGTCGTATCTATGGAACTTCATCCACAGAACTGCGTAGAGTCTTGTTTTCCTGCTATGTNAAAAAGGAGTTAAAACTTTTTCTATCAGATCGACTAAGGAAAAGTCTCGCGACGCGATACTCATCTTCTCATACTTCAGTAACTTTTTGGTCAAAAACAAAACGGTTCTTCAAACCAGCTACCCATGTGAAAATTTTTGCATGTGTAAGCTATTTTCAAGCGGCTTTAATCGGCTTACACTTCAATTAAGTGCTTTAAAGTGCTTAGATATTACGGTTTTAAGCTGCTGAAAGCGGATTCAATCAATTAAGTCGCTTAATATCGCTTAGAATGCAATTTAATAAGTGCTTTTCGGCACTTATCATAAGAAAAGCTGAAAAGTGCTGTAAAATTTTATTCTTTCAAGCGCTTTCCAGCACTTACCATGGAAAAAGCTGAAAAGTGCTGCAAATTTTTATTCTTTTAAGCGCTTTCCAGCACTTACCATGGAAAAAGCTGAAAAGTGCTGCAAATTTTTATTCCTTTAAGCGCTTTCCAGCACTTACCATGGAAAAAGCTGAAAAGTGCTGTAAATTTTTATTCTTTTAAGCGCTTTCCAGCACTTACCATGGAAAAAGCTGAAAAGTGCTGCAAATTTTTATTCTTTTAAGCGCTTTCCAGCACTTACCATGGAAAAAGCTGAAAAGTGCTGTAAATTTTATTCTTGCGGCCTTTAAATTGCTATAATCTATCATATTTGAAAACGAATTTTCGATTGAGAATTTCTGTAGATGATTTCATGCAATTCATGTTGATGATTGATTTTAATAGATTAACTCCTATGCGAGAATAGTGAACATATTATCATATTTTTTTTTTATGATTGACTATAACATAACATGGCTGAATCAATAATCAAGAATGTTCCTCCAAATTAGGAAATCGAATGAATGTTGCACGACCATTCGATTGTAAATAAAAGACACATTTTTCAATTATTTGTTCTGCCTTGATTATACAAATAGTTGTTCCAGAAGTGATCGTTCCAATTTCAATTTCATCATAATAGAATTGTTCATCATTAACTTCGCAAGTAAAATCAGAAGAGCTCGAAAGTGAGAATATTTGAAATAGCACTTCTCCATCATCTACAGTGAAAATCCGATGAATACGGCCGAAATGAACTTCATCACCAGCTCTGTAGACAATTGAAGAGTCATCAGTTGATTTCTTATGACAGTAGTTGCTGGTGGTAAATCGAATTTCACCAATGAATGCTGTAGAATAATAGGTAATTTTACTGGAAAATAAAGCAGATATTTGTGGATCTGAAATGTTGACGGGATGTCGTGGTTGAATAAAGACTGGTAACCGTTGATTAGTTTCATGATTATTGATTAAAGATGATAGAAAGCTGTGAAGGGAATAATCCATTTGAGAATCATCAAGGTGAAACCAAGCGTCTCTCAAATATTGGAGATTATTCATAATTTCTAGTGAATGTCGACGGGTACTCTTTGTTGATCTATTAAGAAGGCCTACAATATCAACAAAATAAAACGCATATTTGCTTCATTAGCAAGGAAAAATATTGTTGATTTTACTCGTGCATGCTTTAAATTTATAATTAATATGCATTTTTGATGGAATTTTTTTCTTGAAAATATTCCTAATCAATTTGTTTGTAAACCTTTTTCCCAATAGATTTTCATGGAAATTTCTATTTACCTGAAAATTATGTCCTACAGATAAAAAAAAACTTAGTTCAATTACTTCGATTTTTGAAAAGCTAGGCAGTTTCATTAGTGAGAGATGCTAAGTCTAAGTACTTTTTTTGCTTATTAGAAAATTCAGAAAAATAATTCGAGACTACAGCTCATTGATTCGAACTAATTTTCGTTTGTTATTGTTCATAGAAACCGAACTGTTATTTTCGTTGACATTAGTACTCACCAAGTTGTGATTCAAAGTTAAATGTAGTATAACTTGTTAAGGGCCCAAAGTCATGAATACTTTCAGCTATGTGTATAATAGAGTGTACAACTTGAACGTTGTGCCTTTCGCTGTATAGATCTGGAAATTCAAGTAAAAAGTCATAGCATAACTTGTTTACTACTTCTATATCCAATTTTGTCAAAGCACGTGATTCAGCAAGATGGACCGCCAAGACTAATTTCTTGAAATGATCATAGTATTTCCTTCTCATGAATTTTTCAAAAATTGGATGACCACATAGTAGCACAACTCGCAATTCGTTTGCCTTGAATTTGTGGTATTCAAGAAAGGAACGAGGATGTCTTGTTGTTGTGGACGGAAATTTAACACGCTTGAGTGATTTATCCAGTGCCGTCAAATGTGTAGATATGCTCCATTTTTCGAATTTGTAACGCGGATTGAGCCATAGTTTCAAAAGACGCTTCTGAAAAAGATAGACATGAAGTGAAAATGCAAATTAAAACTTACAAATAAACCAAGATAGATGTTATGTAGACTATCCACTAAAAACGATCGTCCAAAGTCGAAATATTTGAGCTCTCGTAAAATACATGAGCGCTTGAGACCCATTTGATTGTCGTTGTGTCTCTGTTTGGCATCTCTAATATAACGCCGTATACTGAGAGATTCTATCTCTTCTTTATTTAATATCAGTTGTTGAAGAATTTCATCGTACCGTTCATTTGAACGTTTTGCTGGCGTTTTATTGGCATTAATTTTGAAACTATTAACATGACCACCCTTTTCAGTTTCGACGACAACCCCTTCAATTACAAATAAAACAAAGAAGATATTTTTACTTATCTTCAATACGAAGTATTTGTTTATAGTTTGAGTTTCAAAAGAATTAGAAAATGTACTTCTATCTTGAAGAAAATGTGTAATATAGCTATCAGCAAGTCAGATTGTGAACTAGTGCTTCAAATAGCAATATATTATGGGAAAATGAAAAATAAAATACTTAATAAAAGTTTTTTAATTTTAATAGTAAAAAGTTATAAGAAAAATTCTCTTATTGTTTCAAGGTTCAGTAAAACCTTGTCCATATTGAAAGATGCAAAACTCGATGAAAATTTTGTTCTCATTCATACTGTATCAGCTATGACTCTTACTTCACTCTACTACTTATTAATTATGTATAAACCAAATTAGGCATCAAACGTAAGACCAATGTTTGCCATTTTTCTTCGAAACATTTTTAAAACTACCTTTAATCTCACACCGGCCGCATCCAAACTGTGCTGTTGGTTGCGGGAGACATTGAACGATACATTGAGCAGGTTTGTCGCAGCAAGAACTAATAAGAAAGACTTTAATAAACACTTCCTGTAAATTTTCATTGTTCGTTGATCGTAATCGAAACATACGTCCAGCTTCGAGATATTTCAATTGGTCAATTATACCTAGTAAAATACAGTGATCATTTAATTTCTGGCATCAATGTGATATCATTTTCAAACTTTAGAGACAAGACACGCATATTACCCTTGTACTGTAAATTTCAGTAAAGTAAGCTAGCTCAAGATAGTTTCATTTTCAATTTTTAAGCGAAATCAGCGCTTGAAAGTGCCAATTTTAGGCCATTGAAAAGTACTGAAAACAGAATTAAGCACTTATCATTGATTAAAATATTAATGAAAGTGCTTTTAAGAGGCTTGTAATAGCTGAAGATGTTAACCTTTAAGCAATTATCAGCTGCTTAGGACTTTGGATTGAACAGCAGCTGATAATTGCTTAAAGGTTAGCTTTTTCAGCTATTGCAAGCGGCTTAAAAGCGCTTCGTTTGTATTTTAATCGTCGATAAGCGCTTATTTTTTAAAAATTCAAAAATTAAGTTATTTTAAGTTAACCTCCTTCGGTGTAATTTTCACATGGATTGTAATCAATCATTTATAAAACACTATTTTGAATTATATCAATACTATTACAAATCAACATTTTATTTTATTTACTAGAAATTAGTTAGTACCCAATCAGATAACTAGGAACTTTGATACATTTTGTGCATATAGGATGGTCCTAGCAAATAAATCATTATATCATGATATCCTATGACGTCAAGAAAGAAAATTTTTGTGAGGTTCACACATATTTATAAAACTACATAGCTAACAGTCGAAATTAGAAACCAACAAAATAAATTCATGATCAACTAAGAAAGATCAACTGATATCCTACCTCGTAAAAATATGGACATATCATCACGAGACGGTTTCTTTGGTCCCGGCCAAATACCAGCAAGGATAAGGTTCTATAGAAAAAATCTTTTTTTTCGTCGAATTTCATTCACCACCATTAAAACTGGCCATAAGGAAGCATCTGAACCTTTGTTAGGTTGTACACCATCAATATTCATCGTTAGTGTAATAAAACGATCAGTTTCTGCGTTCAAACGATCATGATAGTACATTCCATCAACAATATCATGCATTGTGTCAGCAGGAAGAACCGAGAGATCTGGAAAGATCAGATCGCGTGTGTTAAGCAGAATCGATTCCAGTTGTAAGCTAATATCGAAGTGATAGAAGATAGGAATGGATGTTACAGGAACCATTTCATCATAAATAAGATTGCACTGACGACAACGATTGATGTCTTCAGACATCTCCTTGCAGGATGGGCAAATCGAACGTTTCTTCGCATTGATATATCCATTTTTCTTCTCATGAAGTAACTTTTTGCACTTCCACCAACTGTTAGGTACATTTGGCACACGAAGAATTCGCAATAACTTTAAAATATCCGACAGACATTTGTTGGAGAGACGATGTCGAGCTTTGAGAATTATAAGAGCAACAGAAATATCAATAGCTTCGATTCGAGTACCTTTGATTTGACAAGAACTTTCAATTTCACGTCTAAAACAGTAGACTGACTTAAGTTTTGCACGATATAATACTAGAAAAGGTTTCTTACATAGCATCGTCTAGCATTGAGCTCGCAGCAACTTTGGGAAAAGATAAGTGTGATTGGTTCTGAGTGTTGTTAGTCGAAGCTGCATTCATTGATGATGTGTCATTGATCACTGTAGAATTTTCAACATTTGTATCAATATCCTGGTTTAGGTTTTCCATCAAGTTTACGAATTGTGCTCCTTTTAACATATTGTTCATAAGAAAATATTTATCAAACGACGAATGCGTACTCACCAAAAGCAATTCTACTACTTGTTCTACGTTTCTTTGCGACCATTCATGAAAGAAGTCGTCTTATTTAGATTACATATCTTTCCCTATTCAACAACCATCAAAATATGTTATAACTACTGCTGCTTTCTGGCTCTTACCAGAAGTCTTTCCTTCTTCAATTATGTCCTTTATCGATATTCCTTTTCGATATTGTGCAAAACGAGACATTTTTGAGTTCTGAAATGAGCATTTTGTTCAATTTATTGACAAAGTTCGCAGTTATTTATTTCACTTCTTTCATGATTAGTTTAAATGAACAACAAATATTTAAATAAGTAAATGTACATTTGATGTAACACTTAGTATTTCTAAACGCTGAATAACAATAAACAATATTTACAAAAAAATGCAAAAAAATATAATGAAAAAAGTATCTAAACATATTACTATTCTTCACGTGAGAAAAAAACAACTACTTTTTCAAATGTTACTTTGAAGTCGTTATAGGATCAATTATCATCACTACTATCAGTATTTTCATTACTTTCTTCAACTGTTCGTTTCTGTTTTCGTAAACTGGATTTGGCCACTTCAAAAACGTTCCTACAAGCTTTTGTTAATTCTCCATCTGTTCTTCGTTCGCTTGGATGAAACATTCTTGCCAAAGCTAAAACAAAAGATAAACAGTATCAAATGTTCAAGCGAAGCTTTGTCTTACCTAAAACAGTACGTTGCTTATTAGATGCAACATTTTTCCATGATTCTCCTATTCGTTTATGTTTTGGAACAAGTTTACTAACGAGTAGTCTACAACATTTGGTGGCTGAATCTGTACTTGTACATTCTTCTACTTCATCTGGTTCCAGATTTAAAATAGTACAGTATCGCTCCAACAAATCACCTTTGTCATCTTCAACATTTTTTTGATCTTCATCAATTCCTCCTGCCAACAATCGACCCATTTCTATAAAGAATTTAATAGTTTTTGCATCAGTTGGTCTAGCTGAAAAACAATTAATTTATATCTTTACATCATAGCCTTTGGATAAACTTACGCATCCATGTTGATTTATATCGCTCGACCTGTTTCGATAATGCGTTCTTCTGTTGCATCAAAGCATTATAGGTTGATTGAGAAACGCGCTTTTTTTTAACTTCTGGTGCTTGAACCTTGTTTGGTTGTATTGCTGTTAACATTGGTTGTTCATCCACTTCATCAAAGGATCGTTTATTTTTATTCATTAATGAAGTATCTAAAAACACAATAATTAAAAGGAGTTATGATCTATAGTCTTTGACAAAATGTTTTTAAAAAGCTAGCGTAGAGATGATAGTACTAGTGAAAAGATAAGTTCTCTATCTTAAAGATCCTTTATCTATAATAAGTCATATTATGCCTTCACTGTTCATAGATAAGCTATAATGAATCAATTAGATTCCTTTTTGTTACGAAAAACTTCTGAAGCAGGTCTTTGCAGAAGTATAAGTCGTTTTAGTTGTCTTTCAACAAAACACTTAATATTATGATCTAGATAACCAAAATATGAAAGAAGACACATGGTGTTTATACGCAAGATAGAGGTAAATTGAATGTTCTAATTGACTTACAATTTTTCGAACAGAAGCAAGAAAATGTATTGCTCTTAAGCATAGAAAAGAACTAACACTAAATCATGGCATCTTGTTAAAAAGTAACAAACAGACAGACAACAATGTAATTTGATAAATAGTATGATCAATAGCACTTGCTAGTTTTTTTCCGATAGATTTGAAATATACATTTTGATGGTCAACGGATTACACTTTCTCATACGAAAATATATGTGCCTATATGTATAAACTTGTTTTACCTTTTACAGAAAAATAAATATTTTTTGTAGGTTTTTCCAACGAATCATCATCTTCACTACCAACTTCGGAGTCATTTTCAACACTATTCATATTGCGAGTTTCAAGATTATTTATTTCATCAATTTCAACACCATTTTTATCAGATGAATCTTCATATAAAAACAATCTAGATTCAGATGTTGAATCATTTGACGATGTTGATTTTTTCGATGTTGGTGATTGAGTAGATGGCTTTGTTCTTCGGGCAGATGTTGTTGTTGGTTGAAATGAGATTGATGATGAAGTAGGTAATGAAACCAATGTACCTGATGTAGCTGTTGATGAGGATTTCACCATGGAATTTGATGAATTTTTTCGTGAATTTACATGTTGTAAATCAGATGAAGATTTAGCTATTGATGATGACTCTTCAATGTTTTTCTTTGTAGTTTTACATTGTTCTTCAGAACCTGTAAGAGTAAAGTATTAGTAAGAATAACAACAAATATCGTTATACAAAAAATAAAAGCATTGAATAGATCAATTTCAGTTTTGAGACATTGTTTTCTGCGTCTGTCAACTCAATCTATTGTTTACAATATTCATCGTTCAGTGAACTTACCCATTGCCACAAGTATTCCTCTACCACGTTCCTTTCGATTTTTCCCTGTCCACGATATTTCAACACCTATTTTCAGTTTCATTTTTTCTCGATGCATTACTAATTGACTCCATGTAATAATATGAAGAGAATTATCTTTTGTCTTGACCAAAAGATATTGGATTCTGGAATTTTCTTGTGGTACCATACCAGTTCAGTAATAGAAAATAGAGTGTCTAGAAAATTATGTTATTAAAGGATCAAAAATGAAGAAATTCAAAGATTGATCTAAAAAAGGTTTTATTGTTATATGTTATACTAACAACACAGACGAAGCATTTTACATTAATCCTTTATTCAGCGAAGAAAGAACGAACAATTCACTGACGATTATTGGTACGCGAGGTGTGACACTCATATGCATTATCATGAGAGCACAAACATGTTCGATGGGCAGCGACATCTATTTTCACAACTGACAGTAAAATTCCAATCAGAATTCTGTTGTAATTTTTTCTTCTTATAGACTGATTAACGCCTTTACATATATTTTTATTTCATTTGAATTCAAGCCTACTCTGTATTTTCTGTATTTGTACTAAATAATTTTTTTGTTAGCTTTCTGAAGCTCTGCTATTGGCTTCTATTTGTTCCATTGTTTGCCAACATCTCTGATGAAAATGCGTAACCAAAGAACATGTATTTGATGAAGTAATGCTTGAGTGATCACTTGAGCGAGAAATGAATACAAGTGATCGAACAATGAAACATCACTTTATTGTGTTTGTTTTCGAAAGATTTTACAACAGCAATATTTACTCTTATTCACATACTGAGAATTGATATCAGAAAAAAATCACCTATTGAGCTATCTGCTTGTATATTCAAAAACTAGTAATTGTATTTTGTGAGGGACATGGAGTATTTTAAGTGCAGAATTCAAAAGGCGCTATCAGTGTCTTGTTTTTTGACCAGAATACACTGAGATGCAGCTTTTCTTTTTTTGGTTATTTCTTTTTTTACAGAGTTGCACCATTTTCCTCAGTTGAGCTATTTATGGTATTTTTCTTTAGTTACTTTGCATGTGTAATTTATTTTAAACAAGCTTCTTTTAAATTTGTGACGCGTGCACTGATTTATAGCATTCGTAAAAAGTCGTTTGAGCTTAGCTAAGCCTATATTATTTTGAGCAGTCACCAGAAATTCGATTTATGTCTTTCCAAGCAATCTTTCACTTCCATCAGTTCGTATTTCACATTTAAAGTATTATCAGCGTGTGACCTTCGGAGAATAAACTAGACGATCTAATTACATTCTCTACAACTTTCCGTTGTTTGTATGTGGTTAGATTTTTTTTCTGCATCTCACTTTTCTGATAAAATCAGTTTTAAGCCTCTTTTGAACCAAAAGAAATCATTTTCTTCACATGTATTAAGCAGCTCTATTTTAAAAAAATATTATCTTTCTTACGTTTTAATTTCGCTCTATAAGATGAATTACATTTAATCTTTTTCTTTTCCATGATAAGCTGACTTGTTCAAGATACAAATAGTAATGAGAGAGAGGACACGACTAGTTTAAAACATAGATATAATGTCAGGTTTTCATCTGAGAGAAACCTTGAGAATTAGAGAACAATCGGTAGAATGATAATCGCATCAAGTTTTCTCGAATCATTAAATTTGGACTATGTGATTCGAGTTACAGCTTACTTTCATTCGAAAAGCGTTGATTTGCTTTTGTAACAATCAATCTTCTAATACAAATTATTTACTTCAACGAATGCTTCTGTAGTTGCTTATAAGTTATCAGACTGAGTTTATAGGTTCCAAGAGTACAGAAATAGGTTTTGGTTAAGTGTTTTAGTCTCTCACAAGTATATCTAAAACCGTATTTGAAAGTTATATTCAAGAAAGTAAATACATACACGTTAGGTTTTCGTAATCATATTTATGGGTTCACTTATTCTCGATAGTTATCGTGAAAACTTCTCATCCTAGCTAAGGGAGGTGAAAAATTCATGTGTACATAAGAAGAAGATAGAGTAGTGAATAAGTAGATATGAAGTTTATATGTGATGATTTAGAAGCATATTTTTAAAAGAGTAGAATAACCCAGAGCGTGGTGACCATATTAAGTTTTAGTTTCTCCAGTTCTTAGCAAGCACAAATAAGCTTCGCAGTCAAATAATCAATTTATGATATTTGAGATTTAGACTTAAAATATTTTTGATTTGGAAGTTTTATGCTCGATATATATTGTTCAAGCCAATATGACCTAACTGCAACCTTTTACCGTTTCTTCGACGTCACATATGTGTTTTCAGAGCTTTCACTTTAGATTAGTTGTCATATACAATGTTGAGAATATAAATTATCACTCGAAGATTTTTTTTAAGAGATACTTTTAGCAACTGAATCGCCTGCGCAACTAACACTTCATACTAAACAGTGAAACACGATTAGTTTTCTATAGAAAATGAGTCCTAGATAGATCCTGTTTCGCTTTCGAGTACATATAGCCTAGCAATCCGCTCCACGTGCCTTAATACTGCTGACATATGTTGAGTACCAAAAGATTAGTAGAACTTTCAATGGATTCCTGCTGTAACCTAAATTTAGTCCAGGTACCGGCTTTTTATCGAACTCATCTTGTCCTAGCATCGGTTTTGAAAAAGCAATCTTTTTTCGAATTTCGACTTGAAATACTGTCTATAAAAAATTCTCGAACAAGCTGTTTCATATATAGTTTCATCAGCTCTGAATATCGTATTACCAGGATATGAGTTTCTCAAAATAGATAGATTTTTCTTTTAGTGTTTTGTCTAACGATTTTTCGAAAAGTTCATATCTTGACAGTACGATATTCAAAAATGATGAAACTATGTATGAAGCAGTTTAGTCGAGAAATTTTTGTATACAGTATTTCAGATCGAAATTTGTAAAAAAATTATTTTTTCAAAGTTTATGTTCGGTCAAGATGTGTTCGATAAAAAGTTGCTACCGTGACTAAATTTGGGGAACAGCAGGAGTCCATTTGAAGTTCTACTATTCATTCGATATTCAACACATGCGTACAGTATAAAGGCAAATGGGCCGGCCACCTAGGAATACTCTCTTTTAAAAAGTCAGTGCTTGTAAGCACTGAATTATGCAACTGTAAGCGCTTTTCAGTTGCTTAAAATGTGCGCTTTACAGCGCTTCTATTACTTATAACTTCAGCGCTTGAAACCGCTTAAACATCTGATTCACAGCACTTTTCAGCTGCTTAAAATGTGCGCTTTTAAGCGCTTACACTGCTTAGAATTTCGGCGCTTGAAAGTGCTTAAACTTCCATGGGTAAGCGCTTGAAAGCGCTGAACTATACATATGCAAGCGATTTTCAGCGACTTAAAATGTGCGCTTTTCAGCACTTTACAGCCAAAAATTTAAGCTAATTTAAGCGCGCTTTTCTGCTTAAATTTTCACATGGGTAGTGCATCATTGCATGGGTTTGTGCTTTCTACAGGTGAAATTATACGAGATAGTGAAAGAATGGTAGACATTGCAGCTGAGCATTACAAACAGCTTTACTCAACACCCAGCGTCGTTCGCCCTCATCCCTATGTTGATGCAACTGCGTTGTCGTGGGAGAATGAGGATGAGCAAATTCCGCCTGTAACCTTTGAGGAAGTTATCAAAGTGGTAGCTAATAGGGAGAAGAAGCTATCATGTGATGCTCATGGTCTCTCGACGTTTCTCTTTAAATTCCTACCCCCGCAGTACTGGATGTTATTCGTACAACTATTTAATAAATCCTTTGCTTCAGGCTATTTACCCTCTCTCTGGAAAGATGTTCGTATTATTCTACTAGCAAAGAAAGAAGCTATCTGCAATGCATCAAACACCAGACCCATTTCGCTTTTAGATATCTTCCTAAAAGTAATCGAGAGGTTGTTCCTAACTAGGTTTCAGAATGTACTTAAGGGGCGTGGAATCCTTCCCGATACGCAATCAGGATTTAGATCCAACTTCCGACTCCAAACCAGAGTTCTGCTGTTGATCGAACAAATTGCGTCATTTATGTCTAGCAGTTCTCCTGTGGCTACAGTGTTTGTGGATTACAAACAGGCCTTTGACCAGTTATGGATTGAAGGTTGTGTAGGCAAATTCAGTCGTATGGGTATTCCTAGAGCATATGTAGAATGGATAAGAGTATGGTTAGTGGGCAGAAGAGGCTATGTAGAAATTCACGGATCTAGATCCCAATGGTTCCCTATTGATCGTGGAGGGCCCCAGGGGTCTAGCCTAACCCCGTCAGTTTTCATCACATATCATGCTGATATGGACCAATTCTTGCAAAGATGTACTTCCTTTTATTTTGCGGATGACTTAGCGGCCACTATGGCAGGCCGGATTGGAGCTAAGTATTCAGAACAGTGTCTAGATCTCGAGCGGAGGCTAAAGGATTTCTTCGATAGTCTGGAGTACTACTCACTGCTCTCGGTCCAACCGATTAATTTTGAGAAAACTGAGGCTCTCTGGTCCGCCAGAGCTTGGGGAGTGCATGAGGGACCGAAATTTAGTTTAAGCTGTGGCAATCATCCCATTAAATGGTGTACGTCCTTTAAATACCTAGGCTATTGGATTAGTCCCAAACTAGGCTGGTCAACTATGATCAACAAAT